GCCTTGGAGGTACTGGAGCAATTATTATTTGTTTTGCGACCGCTTTAGGATACGCACCTGCGACCACGGCCAGACGCAGGTGGGTTTTTGGCGGGTTTGCATCAATTTGACCAGGGGCTGCCTGGCTTGAGGCGGGCAGAAGCAAACCATTGAACACACGGAGGTGTCCTCCCACCGTCAGAGACAATGCGTGGCACTCATGCTCTACGCCAATGAGCTACGCTATGAGCTTATAACCCGTAAACCTGTTGTCTGCCATTGGTGGGTTTTACGGGAAGAGGGCCATCGACCACTTCCTAACCTCGGATGAGGATGGACTAGGATACTGGCAGGGCACTCACACCTGACAGGAGAATGACTCGGGTCATCAGCCAAAGCGTTCGATTAAATGAATACCCGAAATGCAGCGGGTCTAGCACATGGTCAGTTCACTGACTCATGTGGATTGGTGTCCAGGATGTTAGCAGGGAGAAAGCGGTAACCCAACTCCTACCCAGCGGTCGCCACGTGCAGGCGCCCAGGACCTGAGACTTTGGCGCAACCGTAGCAGCAGTGGGTAGAGTATCTGTAAGGATCTAGCCACCACCATCCTCAGCGCACCATAGGCTCTTTCGCCCATGAAGCTTTATGACATAGCTGCATACCTACAGAATTTCTTACGTATATGCAACTATACACATACATTCATTTATAAAGAAAACATGTATTTTTGTACAATTTTTCTAACACAGTTACCTGAATATGATCATGCCTGTAAAATTATGCCTCACGTTGTCGAGAATAGAAGTTTGTTTATTTAGTTATTTATTCATTCTGCAACATGGTTGAAGGAAATACCAAGCTCAAATTCATCAAAGCACGAACACCACCGTGTACTCTAAGGCCTAAAGTTGATGAAGAATTAAACCGTTTACAAACTCAGGAAAGTATAATTCCTGTGCAATTTTCCAGCTGGGGAACGACAATGGTGTCAGTAGCCAAACCGGATGGCTCTGTGCGAATTTGCGGCGACTAGAAAATTGCTACCAACCAGTCTTCTATGTTTGGCAGATATCCACTGCCTTGCAATGAAGACTTGCATGCTACACTGGCAGGTGATGAAAAATTCACCAAACGATCTCCGTCACGCATATTCACAAATAGTGCTCGATGAACGTTCCCGAGAATTTACTACTTTCACTACACACACTACTTTGCCAATACACCCTCTTACCTTTTGGCATCAAAGCTGCCCAGGAAACTTTCGAAGGATTATCAATGATTAGTAAAGGATATACCTTTCATTTGCGCGTATGTGGATGATATTCTCATCTCCGGACGCACAGACGCAGAACACCTACGAACGCTTGCTGTTGTTTGTAAAAGATTAGCATGAAACGGGCCTAAATTGCGAAGGTCTAAGTGTGAGTGCTTTTCTTCATCTTTGTGTTACCTTAGATATAGGCTTGATAAGGTCGGATTACACGTTCTAGAAGACATGATAAAACTAATTTCGGAAGCCCTGAGCCGAGAAACATTGATGACCTCACTTACTTTGACGGAATGTTGCCTCCTTATCACCGTTTCTAACCTAATGCATCCACTAGGTTATCTTCTCTGAATGAGTTACTCCATAAAAACGTACAGTGGAGTTTGGGTCCTCGGAATAGCAGTGCCTTAACCAAAGCCAAACAAACCCTCGCCTCCTCATCAATGTGAGTTCATTACGCTCTTGGAAAGCGCCTAGTTCTCTAAGGTGAACCATCTCCTTGAGGTGTGGGTGCGACCCTGTGCCACCGCATGAATGAACAAACCTTGCGTACCATAGCATTATCATCTCACACTCTGCAACCAGCAGAAAGAAACAATTCACAGCCAGACAAGGAAGCCCATTGCATAATCTTCGGTGTGATAAGGTTTCATCAGTACCTATGGGGAAGTTATTTTGTACTTCATACAGACCATAAGCCAGTGATATCGTTGTTAGGAGGGACCAAATTTATACGACGAATGTCTTCACCAAGAATGCAGAGGTGGGCTTTGACGATGAGCTCAAATAATTATAAAATTACCTACCTCCCTGATATCAGTAGTCGCACAGCCGATACCGTGAGCCGTCTACCAGCTGCAGAGACGTCACATGTGCCCGATTCTCCATGTGAATTGGCTCACCTGATGCAACATCTAGATACAACGCCTCTACGCAGCTCCGCAATCCGTCAGTGGACAGATCAAGACCCAGTTCTTGCAACAATCAAAGGAGTCTTAACAGACGGATGGTCTACCAGAGGAACCCCTCATTTGCTACCATTCATAGCACGCAGGAAATCAAGTGGGTTTATTCGATGGTTGTGTTTTCTGGGGTTCCCGGTTGGTCCCTCCTAGCAAGGCTCGGGCACCGGTCCTTCACGAGCTCCATGAAGCACATTCAGGTGTCTCTAGAATGAAGGCATTAACGATGTGATACTGCTGTTGGTCGAGAATAGATTCAGATATCGAGAATATGCTGAGGAATTGTGAGACCTGCCAGGTATACCAACGCAGTAAACCCCCGGTCCAGTGCGTACGTTACGCTGGCTCGACAAGCCTTGGCAACGGATCCACGCCGACTACTTCGGCCAGCTTGATGGAAACATCTTTCTGTTACTCATCGACATCCACTCCAAGTTGGTCGCAGTGTATCCCGTTACGCAAGCGACGTCAGAATCCACCATTGTTAAGATGCGTTCATCATTCACCACATTCGGTATTACAGAAACCCTATGCACGGATAACGGGTCCCTTTTTGTTAGCACAGACTTCAACCGATTCGTCACTAGAAACGGGATTCAGCATATAAAATGGATACGTCAAACGGGTTGGCAGAGCGGGCGGTGCAGACAGTGAAACGAGCACTGTTCAAATAGCGTGTAGGGATCCTACAAATAAAACGGGACTGTTTTCTATTAGCCTATCGGTCTACACACACTGATGTTTGGCAGGGACCTCAGAACAAGGCTGAATCTACTGTTTCCTAATCCATGGATGGGGATAGAAGAGCGACAGAAGAGGTCAGTGTCTTCAGATGAGGTGAAGAGGGATTCGACTTTTGAGGAACATGGCTTGGTCTACACTAAATTGCCACAAGATACCCACTGGCAATCTGACACCATAATTCGTTCCTCGGGAAGCCAAAAGGAAGTTCAACTTCCAGACGGCCGGCTAATTCGTCGGCACTCAGACCACGTTCGTGCACGGTGTTCAGATACTCCAAACGAGATGTAGACCGGGTTTTGCGGAGACAAAGAACCAGGCACTAACGACGAACCGTACGCACAGGCTAGTGGAACGTTACGGAGATCAATCCGAATTTCTAAACCAGTGGATCATTTTGAGCCTGGAATGTGGTGACATCTATGAAAGGGAGGGATGTCACATGTGCATTGAATGTCAGGCCTTAACCTACTCAGTTGGATGAACGACACACATAAATGTGCACAAGCACCACAACCTCAAGTTTATCGTGTTCAGCTGAATGCAAGCCAGATGTTCTGTCAGTTATTAATTACACAATGTCCCATCCAAACCCGTTCCCTTTACCGTGTGTTCTGAGTCCTGTAGAAGATACGTTGTAGTACCTTTACTTACTGTGACTAATGCGTATCAAACCTTACTTCTGGTTTGGCCACCATATGCGGCTGCGGCTGCGGCTGCAGGAGATTGGTGTTCGACTGGTCCATTCCTGACACGGGTAGAAGTTGGTGTGCGCCGATCTGTTGCGTGTTTCAAGTAATGGCCGATTGTGGCTGTCATATTGACGGTTTGACTACCAGAGCCATCGTCTGCATTTAGCTTACGATTTACCAACATGGAACGAGAAGAACGCAATTGAAAAATTGACGCTGGTAATCCTTGTGAAACAAGCCGCGTACGTATCTTTTGGTTCGAGCCGGTCAATTTTTCCTGGTGTATTCTCTCCTAGCGTTGGTCTGCCTCTCGTTTTCCTCAAGCACCCAGTCTTATGTATGGACTTATGGATGACATGGTCAAAGGTGTAGGACAAACCCAAAATACATGTAGCGAGCTGCTCCGTTCTCTAGCCTGCCGATGAGAAAGATTACCGCATTTGGGGTGGAAATGTTTGGAACAGAATGCGCAGGCTACCCCTTGCTTTCACAAGACGCTTACATTTGGCATGCTCATAGGTACCTTATTGAAACCTCATTTGGAGCCACGTTTATCGGCTCACCGATATTTCGATGTAGTCAGGAGTAGGGGATATTGTTATAGTGTCAATTACCGCTGTGTTGACAGTTGATCGATTACCGCGTCTGGGGTAGGTGAAGGTCAAACTCAGCTGTTACTGCAAATGGGCAGTATAGTCCGCTTGTATGTGTGGACAGGCGCAGGTGGACTTTAAACGCGGCTTAGATGTCGCTTGTCACCCGGTTTACACTTTGAATCGAACGATAGCCTTGAGAGTGCGAGTGCGACACGTGTCGTAAAGGGTGATTACTACAGAGTAGGTCCAAGATGCAGAGTGCACTGGATAGCGTTCATGTATACGGTTTGAATGTGTGTAGATACGGCAGCGTGCGATGAGTTTCGTGAGATAAATTCCGAAAGGAGTTAAAGGGTTTGCAAGTGCAATCTGGTGATGTGATCTTGCGGGTACAGGGGCTGATAAGATTGTATGCTAGGTCACTCACTTCTTTTGCGCTAATGATGTCCAGTAAGCTAGAATTAATAATGACTAACTTTTGCACTCATTGTCTTGACTTAAGGCAGTCGCCTGCTTGAGTGGCTGTGGTTTTAACGATGCGCCAAGCCGACTAAAACAGGTTGTTTTATGCCAATAAACGGCAAATACACGCATTTCTTGTTGGAATAGTAAGAATATCCTTTGTACTGATTATAATTAGTGTGGATAAGTCATGGAACTTCGAGCGCATCGCAGCGCACCTCGAACAAAGCGTCACGTGGTCTAGCCAACGTGGAAACGATGCAAAAGAGGAGGCAGGTGAATGTATTGAATTGGTAGACTTTTATTCTGGCTGAAAGCCGTTAGCGTAGCATTCACAATTCTTAGTCTCTAGCCTTCTTTCTACCATATACCGATATATTAAAAACATTTAATCAGTTCGACGTCCTTTTTTGGCAATACGCTAGAATCGATCAGCTTGAAGAATTTCTGATGAAGATATCCGCCATTTCTTTGGAAACGAGCAGGAGCGATAGAGCAAAGAGGAACACATGCATTCTGGTGAGTTTTTATTTCACTGTTTCGTGTGATGCAAGAGTTTTGTTACCGGAAGTGCGGAAAGATAAACAATGCCCAAATTTCAATCGTGTGTACCCCTGGTATACATACTTTCTTCAAGTTAAAAGATGTCAGCACTTCAAGGTTAATCGTGTCCTTGCGTGCCCTTGTGTTTAGCGAGCGGTTATCTGCCGAATCAGTGAGTGGGTTACTTCTGATCAGACTCACCGTATGCAGGACATTTGCGGTGGAGTGATAATCACCAAGACGATCACGTTTATTGTTCTTAAGCCCCAATTCTTGTTCTCTTAAATATAAATCTTTAACGGGAAGTGTGGACGAGGTCATGGATGTTGAACTGCCAACTGTCTGTGACCTAGCTGCCTACACAAAAGTCCATAGGTTGCTCCAATTGATAAGCAATTCGGATAGTGCTTATCGCAATCCACCAGTGCAAGCATATTGTTGGAATCTTTTGTGGTCAGCGGTAAATTCTTTTTATGCGTCAGTGTTTGTGGGGAATTTTTCTTAGGTTACTAAAAATAGATGCCTGGTCTAATTAACCTAGCAAAGTAATCTTTGTTAGAAGACTGGATGTCAAAAGCTTGCTGAGATTTTCTACAACGCGTCGACGCTTAACCAGACAGAAACGTTTACAGCGCCATCAAGAACCAGCACCTAAATAGATGTTGCAGCGCACTGTGCGACACTATTTCCTCCTTGTTTGGGCATGTAACCTGCTACTTTTTAATTTGGCAGTCAATACTACACAATATTCCTAACTGCGCGGTTAAGTAAACATGTCTCATTCTGATCAATCTACAGTTGGTTGTTTCACGCATTGCCGGGAACTATATCATACGCATACCATATTAATCTCAGTCCAACAACCATAGTCCGACTGGAAATGTGCCACGGAATGATTCATGCTGTTCTAGTGTTATCAGCAGCACCTGTTTTCTCTCTGTCACTCTGCTTGTGTAGGCATGGGATCCGTCATTGTTGTTTCACGAGATGATGAGTTGAGTCACTGAGCTAGAGGTAACTGTGGTCGCAGTCATACATGATTGATTAGTTTGCAAACTATGTGGCCTAGCCAACGTCTCCCATGGCTCAGTGACTTAAACTGCGCGCTAGTTGGCATCCGCCTGTAGCGGTCATGGGTTCGATCCTCCTTAGAGGACCGAGGGAATGCGCGCCACTGACGAGCCCCAATAAGGCGAAACCCGTATGCCACTTTTCCGGACTAGGCTCTGCTATGTAGCTTGTGAACTATTTGGATGAAAGCCTTGTCAGAAATACAACTAAAATCTTGCTACTCGTGAGTAATAGAAAATCAACATAGCCTCTCCTAGTTTCAAATGCTATGGATATAGCGTCTAGTCAGAGGGTCATCACCTCGCAGGCTAACCACTGTCACTGACAGTGGTAGCTAGGTGGTGCTATATCCCAGTTAGTTTGCAAATTATGTAGCCTAGCCAACGTCTCCCATGGCTCAGTGGCTTAAGCTGCTCGCTAGTTGGCATCTGCCTCTAGCGGTCATGGGTTCGATCCTCCTTAGAGGACCGAGGGAATGCGCGCCATTGACGAGCCCCAATAGGGCGAAACGCGTCTGGCGCTTTTCCGGACTAGGCTCCGCTATGTAACTTGTGAACTATTGGGATGAAAGCCTTAGCCGAATTACAACTAAAATCCTGCTACTCGTGAGTAATATAAATTACAAATAGGCTCTCCTAGTTTCAAATGCTAAGGATATAGCGTCTAGCGAGAGGACGTCATCACCTCGCAGGCTAACCATTGTCAGAGACAGCGGAAGATAGGTGGTGCTATATCCCAGTTACTTTGCAAATTATGTAGCCCAGCCAACGTCCCCATGGTTCAGTGGCTTAAGCTGCCGACTAGTTGGCATCTGCCTCTAGCGGTCATGGGCTCAATCCGCAGTAGGGGACTGTGGGAATGCACACTACTGACGAGTCCCAATAGGGTTAAACGTGTCTGGTGCCTTTCCTGACTAGGCTGTGCTATGTAGCTTGTGAACTATTGGGATGAAAGCCTTATCAGATATACATGATACATCTGCAGTGCACGCTAATACTTAAACGATGTTGCTTTTGGCTCCTATAACTAAAAACGCATGTTTCCTTTCAGTATATCAGATAATAAGTGTGTGGCGAATCATAAGCCATGGCTAGATATGTTTTCGCCCAATGATTCGTCTCCCATGTTGTTGGCTTTAATATGAATCCACCCTGACTGGGATTTTAATCAGGAGTGTGTGAGCAGAATTGTTTTCTGACATTTAATCCCGGCATTTTAAAACCAACCTTAGCTGCACTTTACAGTAGTTTAGGGATCATCAGCATACTAAAGCCTGATATGCTTTAGCCGTGAATTGCGCCAGGAAGCCGCTACGCTACGTTTGTTGCTGTGCTCAACTGCTTTGTTTTGACAGCATTGACGGAACATTTAACATGTAATTTGCGCCTAAATAAGCTATCCTTTGTAGGCTTCGGTGGAAACGCTTTACATATAACCCACAAGTGTGCATTAATCTCTGATGAAGGGGTATTAAGCAAAGCCGAGTGGCAAACAAGTGATCATCCGTCGACTAATTCACGGTCCCTAGTTTTCCCACGGTTACTGAAAGCCTGCGTTATGTAGTACGTGCAGATATATTTCATGAACGGTTTCGGCTTTTCCATCAAGTATTGACTCCGAAAACTTTGAGGCTGTTCGCTCATGTTCAGACTTATCACCAACCTACCAACTAGAAGTTATGATCGCGTGGGACACTGCCTATATCCGGTTGATGGGAGTTCAGAACTGTCCAAGCAAGCTGCTTAAACAGTTTTGCGTAGCCACTCAGTTTATTGAGAATCAGTTATAGAATCCATCGCTTGATTTTCTCGTCAATACAGTTTAACATGGAAACTTGCTGCGAATCAATACAAGATTTCTGTCTGCTTCCTGTGATTTTATCTTTGCAAAGTAGCATGTGGTAGTTAAAGTGGTAAATGGTAACCATGTTGAATGTATAATTCCTGCTTTCAACCATGGAGATAAGTGAGCTTGATGGGATATTTTTTATTTCAATATTTCTCTATCCTATCCTTTTGAACGTCTTTGATCAGCAATCCGATTGATGGTAAAGTATAAGCTCAAGGAGTGTTTAGAATTGTACAAATGCTGAACAGTAAATATATGTTAAGTTCACTTCAGAGGTTTGTTTATGAACAGCGCATCAAATTGGAATGATTCAAGTTATCGTGAGACACAGCAACTAAACATTAATAACAACAGATCTGAGAACTAACTGCAACCAAGAAAATGCGGAAAGACTTGGCAAACTTTACCCAAAAGGTTGGAGAGGGGAGGATTAAAGTATGCACACACTGGATTGGACAGAAAATTAGAGTTTCTAATTTATAGATCGGACACACAATAGTTGTCAAATATTAAGTGATGCCAACCAAGTGAGTCGTAATTTAGTGAAATTCAGTCACAACACCAAACTCAGAGGTACCTGCCTGAAACTGACTGACTAGTACGGCCGTCTAACAGGTCAAAGGAATTACATTTTTCTTGAGTTTACCAACCCTGGAACTCTCAACCAACCTCACTTGTATCTTCCGCTACTTTGGAAACAAAAAATTTTGGTAATTGCTTTCAGCTCGCAGCACCTCGTTGCCAAAAATGTTCTATGGTGGATTACATTAATCATGTCATCCTACGAGGTTTATGTCTCTCACGGACCGAAGGATGAGGCGCATGAATGTGTGACCATATTTGATTTTCCTCTCGCTTTACGTCAACAATCACTGCACCCCATGTGTTTCTGTAGGTATGTATTCAATTTTAGTGCACACTAACGTTATTTATCAACCCATTTCTCTCAGTGGACGCACCTCAGATGCCTCATCCACCTATTGATTGTATTGAACTGACCATGACTCTCTTAGGGGACTTGTTAAACACTTGCTTTTTAACCTGTGATGAAGCATTGTTCATTGTATTCCAATGGTCCCAGGTTCGACTTCTGCTATCTCCACCTAATGAAAGCAAATGATTTCCAAACCTGTCTTGGTGTGCAGTAATTTTATCTAGCTACGAAAATGAACTCTTCTTAAGCAGTAGCTTGTTAAATAGAATAAATTAATAAGTATTTAACGCATTGAGATCCCTGCATCCTTCTGAGCAAGATAATAAGACGAGGAGTACTTCCAAATGATTACATTTCGTTTTGGCTGATCACTTGTAAACGAACCACATGTGGAGATGAGCGAAGAAAACAATTGTTTTGAAGTGGGTCAGAAAAAAATGTACCTCGATACAATTCAATAGATGGCTCAGCTGTGACACATCTCACTGGCCCCAAGGAAGTTCTAGGGTCATTGTCAGTTGTTACTGTACACAGAAAATAGAACGGTTTCGATTAAGATTTGCGGCCTCGGCAAACCACAGCACAGTGTGCTTTTCGTTCCGTCGGATAGACGTAAAGGTTTGACCTGGGTCAACTTGATGATCTGTACCGATTAGGCGTCTAGCGGCGATTTGTATTCTGCCCCCTGTTCGTTTGATTGTTGTGTCATAAGCCTAGCAATTCCCTTCGGAATATGCTCTCCAATCCGTTTAACCAGCAAACGATCGGCTCTGATATCGTAACTGCTTCCGCAGCTCCAGACGAATTGATAAATGCAGTGTGTTATGGCGGAGACCGGTTGTATAGGTTTTACTGAGGGAATCGGCAGTTTTTTGGTCGTCCAAATAGAACAGTTTGACAGCGAAACGGCGAATAGTTGTGTTCACTCGTCGTTCAAGTTGCGCCGTCATGACATTACCACTGAAGAGTAGCTCTAGGTAGACAAACAATCTGATCACGGTATGTACGCATGGTTTGTTTTCTTTCTTGTGACTGTGGAATCTAATAAATACTTCCGGATATCCATCGGCTCGCATTGTCTGTGATGAACAACGCTGATTCCACATAGTCGACACTGCATGTG